ATTGCCGTGTTGTACCCTCATTCTGCCCTGTGTGTTTTTGTTTCCAGTTCAGTTTCCTGCCCTCTTAGTTTTGTTCTGTTTCTTGACTTATGCCTGCAATAAAGCAGTGGACTTTGAGTTTAAACCATTCCGGTTTTCTTCTGGCAATCCTTCCAAACAAGCCAGAATTTTTTATCCTATTTTGAACTGTACATATTATCATGAATGTGAAGATTTAACACAGAGCAAAAGAAGAGAAAACTACCAAAACAGTGTCGGATTTGGTAATATAGGTGGATTTGTTCAAATACACAGTTCAGGGCACTACTAAGAATGAAAGTGAAGATAGATGTGTTTAGTCAAATTTTATAGGTTCTTGAGTTCAAAGCATCCCTATCTAGGAGTTCATAGCCATTACTCTAACCTCGCTTTCCCTATTTCTGTCATGGTTGTGGGCGGGCAGGCACAAAAAAGGGCCCAAAATGCAGACTCGTGGAGGCAGAATTTAAACTCAAAGTCCACTGCTTTATTGCAGGCATAAGTCAAGAAACAGAACAAAACTAAGAGGGCAGGAAACTGAACTGGAAACAAAAACACACAGGGCAGAATGAGGGTACAACACGGCAATGAGCAGGAGCAGACACAGACACTAAATACAAGAGGAAAACAGGACAAAGGGAAAACACCTGGAGGACACAGCGTACACCAATTAACAGATGGGACCAGGGAGACGCTAAACTAGAAAGATTAACGTAGGGCACAGACTGTCAAAGTAAAGCAGGAAACAAACTGGCACAGAACAAAACCAATACTAAACATTAGAAATCTCAAACCACAAAGAAATTATAAAATAACAATACACAAAACACTGGGTCACTGACCCAGGACCGTGACAATTTCAGTAGCTGCTAGGATTTGGAGAAGAAAGGAGTAGTGGAGGGAGCCGCAGCTGAGGAACGCTGGGCTGCAGAAGGAGCGCTGAAAAGCTGCCAACATAGACACTCAGAGGAGAAAGAACGCTGCAAATAAAAGACATTGTTACCACATTGCCAAGCATCTGGTCATGTCCTGCTACAGTGGTGTTGATTCCCAGGCTCAGCATGATGATCTAGTGCAGTCAGTGGCTCAGATGCAGAGTTGGGAGCAATGTCAATGAGAAATTGGCTAGGAATTAATAACCTGTTGGGGCTGTGTGTGGGGATGCATTCATGACTTATAATGTAATGTCTGCACTCAGCGGTGATGACATTAACATTTCACACAAAAATGAGCATGCTGCAGACTGACTGAGAAACAAAGCAAGGAGTTGTTAATTAATTTTGTTTAGTGTTTCCCTAACTACTCCAAAAATAGCACTATATAGCAGGTAACAACTGCTTACAAGAGAAATGGTAAATTGTTAGAAAGTATTTTATTCTGTTATTTATCTCTGCAATTGAGGTGTCCCTCCAAACCCCCCCAAAAGTAGGAAAGGTATGATTACAAGGCTTGTTACAGAATTATCTTTACTTTAAATCCTTGATAGGTTAAACAACAATAAGTAGCAATAGCATACATGTGGAGTGTGTATTCATTTTCAGCCTTATTATAACCCCAGTCATTTTCCTGTGGTTTGAGATCTTGGGATATCACATGTCCAGGCAACTAGTTGGACTCTTGGAAATGTAATAAGCACACAATTCATTTTTTCAAGTGAACCAGAGGAACAGGTCGAGTAATGGGGACCTCTTTTACACCTTAATTCTGCAGACTCATATATTTTGAAGACATTATGACTAAACAAACTGCACAGGAACAGGAAACCTGCCCTCCCCCAATGACATTCTTCAGTTGTATTTTAGTCTGCTACTCAGTCAGTCAGCAGCAAGACAACATGGTGATTACAACTCTCTGTTTCAGACTATGTGAGTAATTGTTGTTAGGTTTATTTTTATATTTTCAGATTTACTGTATATATGTCTGTACATGAAATAATTTAAAGTTTTCCTGTGCTGATCTAGTAATGCTTGAAGTTATTCTGCTGGGGACACATGTTCAAAATACCTTGACCCAAAAAATGGGTGAGTACGTTAGAGACGTTAATAAAATAAATAATCTTTTTACTTTTTGGGGGTGAGTAAGTTGGGGTTGACTTAAACATCTTACAAGTCTGTTGATGATGTTTATTAAAATCCTTTTAAGTTTAATCATCTTTCACTAACACATTTTATAAGAATTTTGATTATTCTGTTTACTATTAATCTTGTGATGTTTCTAATTTTTAGGTGCAGCTACTCTTCGTGTGACTCCTAACAGACTCCAACACTTTCAATTCAAGTCTTTATCTTTTGATTGTGAGAGCCCTGATGGTTCTGCTGAACTGAGAGGAGTCAGAACCACTGAGGAACTGTTAGAACATTTTAGTCCAGCGTGTAACAGTAAAATAACTTCCTCTTCATGCACAATTACTCAAACGTATGTAACAGACAGTGCAGAGTACTGGTGTGAGGATAAAGGGGGTCAGAGAAGCAACAGTGTCAACATTACCATAACTGGTAAGTTCATCATATTTGTGAAATTAGTAAAGAGTTTTATTTTAAAATTAGGTGAGATTTATTATCCACTTTGTCTTGTATGGTACAGAATTTATTTGTCATTCAGACTTTTTTTGTCAATCTATCTATCTATGTTTGTATATAGATATGTATGTAGACCATGCCACTGAAGTTTTATTATATTCTATTCTCTTGTGAAGACTATACAACAGCTGTGCTAACATTTTGCTTTTTATTCAGATGGTTCTGTGATCCTAGAGAGTCCAGTTTTCCCTGTTTTTGAGGGAAACAATGTGACTCTGCGCTGCATAAGCAAGACAACTCACACCAACCAAAGTGCAAATTTCTACAAAGACGATGGCCTCATAGACCGGAGCCCTTCTGACAACATGGAAATTAACAGTGTTTCCAGGTCTGATGAAGGACGATACAAGTGCAGCATTTCTGGTGTTGGAACATCTCCAGAAAGCTGGCTTCATGTCAGATGTAAGACTAAAACTATATTTACTTATTTCTATGGCTGGACTTCATAGAAAGAGAAATGTGACTCTAACAACTAGATTTCTGCTTTTTGGTCTTGATGAAAATGTTTATGTTATAAAAATGATATCACAATTTTTAATGTTTAAAGTCAGACAAATTACACAATTACACATAGAAAGATATTTATAAAGTTGTGTCATTGCAGCATATTCTTCAGGAGAGACCATCCAGTCTGATGACCCTATTTCTACTCCTGTCTTCTTCCTGCGTTGGATTTTGTTGTTTATTTTAATGATGATACTGCTGATAGTCAGATTTCTTAATACTTGCAAACACAGAGGTAATTCAGTTTTTCAGTTCACATGATTTATTAGAATAGTCTTTTATTCCCTTTTAATTTTTTTCTAATGCTGTCTTTTTTTCTTCTATTCATTAGTTTCCTCAAAGACATCAACAGCAACATCAAACTGATATGAAGACCGTCCAGGAGGTGAGAGAGAAATAATTCTAACTACTGTATTACTCAGTTTCATGCTTGTTACCAATTTTAATCCAATTTGTTAATCAGTCCAAGTCAAGGTCACAGTGGGACTGGATGACTTTTGTCTTAATCAATTTAAATCGATTAAAAGTGTATCGCATGTATGAGAGACTGAATGATACAATTTCTAGTAAGTTTATATATAACAAAATTAAAATCTTAAATTAAAAAAATAAAAGCTTAAAGTGAAGTGTGGTATTTTTACATGGCATATGCTCCACCGAGGGATTATTTTTGTGTCTGCTCGGTATGTCGTATGTGGGTTTTTTGTTTTCGACACTGCTGATGCTTCGATAATTTAAAACTCTGTCTTAGGTCAAACCACAGCACAAAGCCTGAAAAAGAGAAGCGTGAGGGCTACCAAAGAACAGTTTTATTGTATAAATATATATATTCTAATACATACATGCATAATAACCTCTCTTGCCTACAGATGATTCTTCCCCTTCAGACGATATCTCAGAACAACCTGTTTACACCACTGTGATCATAAACAAGACAGAACAAACTCAAGAACTGGGTTCTTATGTTATTAGCATTTGGACATTTTATTGGATTTTTTTCTTTATTTGCTTCCTTTTATAAAATTATGCCAGAACAGTTAAGTCACATTCCACAAATATTTGCATTGATCTTATATTAAAAATTAATGCTTGTTTCCTAAAAGAAAACATATTCTCAATTTCAATGGCAGATTCAGGATTATCACGCTCCACACTGCCCCTGAGTCCCCCAGCAGGTGAAGAGTCGAGTTCACCATAGGAGATCATTTATTCACCCATCCAGACAGTAAGACTATTTTGGCCTAAGGTGAACTACATTTTACAAAACAGTATTTAATATGATATTATTTAATATAAGATTTTTACTATTGTAAACCAGCGGTCCCCAAGCCCCGGGCCTCGGACCGGTACCGGTCCGTGAGTCGTTTGGTACCGGGCCGCGAGAGTTGAGGCTCAGGTGTGAAATGTAT